TACAAATGTATTACAGACAGCAGTAAAACATCCTATCCATTTTACAGAGCACGGATCTCAGGCAAAGGGTTCAGAAGAGTCTCTGGAAGAGTCCACACCAAAGGCCCATGGCAGGCCTTCTTAACAAACAGCTCGACGCTCGACACAGAACACAGACTCCCGCCTGCCTAACCTTCTCAGCCCCGCTCTGATTTTGTGTATGCGAACAAAATTCAAGCAGGAGATGGGCAAAGCAGTCTGTGCAGGAAGGGGAGAAAAATAAAAGTCAAGTTTTAGTTTGCTAGAGAAAATGGAGAACTCACGAGCCTTAGAATGTTAAGTGAGGCTCATGATCGAAGCAGAAGGCCTGGTGGATGGAAATGAACTAGATAGATAGGCTGGAGAACAGATCTTATAGGTAAGTAATTGTGACCAATTTAGAAAAGCTTGGTCACCAGCCTACTGAATATTAAGGTCCAAAAGTCAGCTTGGGTAAAGGGATTTTCTCCAGGAAACTTGCAGAAAGGAACTCTACTCTGGTTTTGTGTCCTGTAGAGGCCTCACATCTAAAATGTAAACATGTTTCCCACTACTGGGACTTTTTCCTCTTCCTTTTTTTTTCCCTTGAGGAAAGCTCACTCATCGGCAGGAAGTAAGCTTGTAAAATAGTACAGCTCTGGGCCAGGAGTCTTATTGTATGGGGTTCTTGTGTTGATGGTGTGCTACTGGTATGGGAAAGTGTAAAAAGAATCCAACCCACTCTTGACCTTGATACTGACTTCCAACGCTGTCACAGAGCTATACTCTGACATCTGCTAAAGGCCCAAGTGGGACAAACATCTAGGTGTCTTTAATTCTATTTCTGCTGTACCTAAAGGAAAGGACCTTTCAAAAGGTGGCAATCAGCAGTTGCCTTTGAAAGCAGGAGTGAATGTTGTGGAATATATGAGCAGAACCCATTGGAAAGCCCTGAAGGTGCCAGACAGTTGCTAATAGCAACTCTCTCGGTGTGAAATATTCAGATAACTCGTTCAGTTTTCCATTTTCTTTGGCCCTGGATTGGTCTTCCTTATAAAAAGCATTGGCATCTGTTTTCTGTTAGAGATACATAAAGAGCTCTTCTCCTTGGAATGCAAATATTTGTTCCTATTCTTGCTAGAAGGAATGATTTGATCAGGAATCAGACGGGATGTTTTAATCTCTACAAGGTGAACAGGAGACCATCCAGACCAAGAGAATGGAGCAGGAGACCAAGAAAGCCTGTCCTTGTTTAGTTCAGGAGATCAGCTTCTTTTAGCATCCCACAGTCTAGAGAACAGAGGAAATAGAGTCTCTCAATTACTGATGATGGATGCCTCTTAAATATCTGCTGTTCTCAGCAAGAGAGCTCAGGATGAAATGACAGATAAAAATCAGCTCATAAGAAGATCTGTTATCAGACAAAGAAGACCAATTGGTCTTGGCTGGTTGGAGTGTTATAAATTTTTCGAGGGCTGTGCCCTCATTTTCTGGGAGAGAATAGATACAGTAATCTATTGCTTATTATCTGCTCAGATGGCTAGGAGAACAGAGCAGGCACTAACGTTTATGCCACTACTGGTCCCAGCTGACCTCAACTATGGCTAGTAGGGCCCAAGAAGCCAAAACCTGCTGTGGGAGAAGAAGGAAAAAAAAATCTTGCTGTAGTACAGAGCATCCTGCAAGAAAAAACCTAACTGCTAGTTTGCCCATCTGATTGGAAATAGAAAGAAATACAGAAGTGTCAGACAACCAACACCAGGTATTCTTGTTGGGCATGTGCAACTCCAGGAAGGAGGATCTGATTTTCCTCACCTTCTTCACCTTCACACTTGGGACACAGCCTAGAACTCTATAGCAGGAAGCTAGGGCCCACAGAAGCCACTCTCAATGCACACAGGTCACTAAGACATCTTTTCATAGCACCGAGGGTACTGTGGCAGGACCATGCAAGGAATGCTCAATTCTTAATTGAGTTCTGTGGTTATGGAGTTCAGTAGCAATAAGCAGTGGAATGAACTACAAAGTTGGAGTTCTAGGCAAAAGTCATGCTGGATATCATAGGAGAGGCAGGGGAAAAAAATAACCAATCAGGGCATATGAAAATGAGGAAAAAAGAATTTCTGAAACTGTCTACAGAGATGAAATGATGAAGAGGTGAATACAGGCCCTATTCTACTCATGGGGGATTCCTTGGCCACAGGAACTCATGTTTAGCATGCAGAAACCAGGGGAGGACTTTAGGTCTTTGCCTCAAGAAGAGACTGCATTGAATTCTTGGGAATGAGATTCTGGGATGTTATGAGAACGTTATCTCTTCCAGATAGAAGTCCCAATACAATGACATCTTGCCTCTCTCTATGGCATTCCTTCACTCAGTCACTCCATAAACTGGCCTTCTGCTACTGATGCTCCCAATAAGGTGCCTGGGCTGATTTGGGGGGGGAAGAGATCTGCAGTGGTAGAGAAGAAGGCCAACTTGCTTGTAGGCACTTTGACCTTGAGGCCTGTACCTCCTTATATGCTAAGCTGTGGCCAGGATGACTCCTAATGTTCTGTACCACTAGATCTAAAATTACTTAACCTTCATATCCCTTTGGTTCTGATTTTAGATCAGTTTCTTGGCCACCTTCTCCTTTCTGCAGATAGAGGAGTTCTAGCTTTATTTAAGAAACACAGGAGCTACTCTGGGAAGGACAAAGATAGAAATCAACTTTTACTGGGAGAATTTCATTCATTGCATCCGAGGCCATAGATAACAGACATTGTTTCAACCATAAAATGATCTTTCTCCCACTCTCTCATTCTCTCCCTTTTTCCCCCCTGTACACACATTTTTTATTCTGACTAACCAAGAAACTCCAGCTTGGACTCACCCAATGTCTATCAGAAACCGGCCACTGTAGTAGCATGGTGCAGTGAATGATTTCTTAGTCAGTTTGCCGAGCAGTTTACAAACTTACTATACAACAGAATAAAGTTAATTCTCCAGAGGTTTGGATAATTAATGTAGCATTTAGATATGAAGATAGCATGCGGAAAACAGCCACAACCAACATTTGCATTGCTTTTTTTGTTTTTAAAGAAAAACATTAGTGACAATGACAAATGTCTTATTAATACCTGAAGAGCAATTTTTTTTTAATACATCCTGAATAGGGTGCCATCACTACATCCTTTACAACCTTCCTTCTGCCAGACCCATTTGGGATGGTGTCTGTAAAGCCACTTTTCCCATTCCTTAGAAAATACTAGAAAATGTTAACTATTATACTGAACAGAGACCATGCTCACCTCACCACAGCAGATGGCCACTGAGACACACCAGGTACCACGGGGACAGCATAGCTCACTAAAGGTGGGTCCTCCGATGGATTATTTCAACCACCACAATCCACTAAGGGGAGGAGGAGAATGGACAGAAGGCAAGCGCTTCATCTGGAGACTGAAGCAAGGCAGGAAGTTTTTATTTTACTATATAAACAGCATAACCATTAAGTGTCGCCTTAATGCAAACTCACTTGTAAGCCCATTTCTGTCTGATCAACAGTCCTCAAGGTTCCAAATGGAAATCTTCCTTTCAGAGGGGTCAGATTTTTTTCCAGGTGGTCACCCTGAAATCTTAGCCACGTGGCCCTCCTGAGAAGCGAGCCAGTCACCCTGGTTATTTTAAACTTACTAAGGGACCCTCTTGATAAGCAATGGAGGGGTGTTGACAGTGGTGGTCACCTCTTTTTCACTTACTCTCCAGAAGTTTCTCCCTGAACGTCCTTCCTTCTTCATAATTCCCTTCCACATCCACCCTGACCTGCTTTCTGTTCTTTCTCCATGATTAACAGACAACACACCGTGACTCCTGGAGCCCCCCTAGAACTTCCCAGTCCCTCCTTTGCCAACGCCCAAGTTCATTTGCTATGAGGACAACGAGTTGTCAGGCTAAGGCAGCAGCTGTGTCTGCCTTGGAAAAGGAAAGCAGATAATACAATCCAGGAAACATGAGCACCAGAAAAGAATGCCACATTCAGAACAACGTCATGCTGACAAGCACAGAACGGCACCACTCACGGTCACTTTGATTGTCCCCAAGAGGACAGATAAACATTAAACAACTTCAATGTCCCCAGCAGGGATGGCATTTCCCACAGAACTGTACTGACACTGGTTGTTTTTTCTTTTTTTTCTAATTGGCAAAAGTTACATTTGCAATAATAATAATAATAGTATTTTTTTTACTATCACTCTGTAGAGAATAAATTCTACTAAGAAGGGAAGGGGGCTTACGGATAGTTCCTTAAAATGGAATAGAGCATAAAATGATTTGGATAGAATTAAGGTGTTTTTTTTTTTCTTTTGTTTGTCTCAGCTACAAAAAGCCAATTGAATATACTCCTTTCAAAAGGTCTCACTGACAAGTAACAAATTTGGATAGGAAAAAAAAAAAAAGGAACGAAAAGAAAAAGGTGGTTCTGGGCCACCTTTGGCTATTATTCCAAGACCATGTTGGACAGGCATGCAAGTCCCCACCGAGTCCTACGATATAGAAATCCCTTTGATATTACAAAATACAAAAATATTATTTTTATCAGAACTCTCCATTTACATTTGCATTTACAATGGACATGTAAATAACTTAATGGGGGGGGGTCCTGGTTAATAAACAAATTACTTACTGGGGTGGGATGGGGCTGTGGGGGGGGGGGGGGAGAGGAAAGTCCTAAAAGTCAAGAGAACCAGAAAAGACACCACAAGCAAGTGAGAAACCATGTGCCATCTCCTGAGCCGTCCGTTCCATAGACCTTCGTGGGCAGGGACCCAGGGCCCACTGCGGTTCCAAAGTGAAATGTGCAAAGAATATTGAACATGCCGAGAAATGTGGACTATCTACCCTCGTCTCTAATCGTCTGGAAGCAGGTTCCCCTTCCTCCCCCATAAGCAACCCCCCCCCCAAAAAAAAAGCTCTGACGATCCCCAACAGTGCAACTCTCCACAGGTACATTCTCAGCTCCCTGCCCCATCCCGCCCCGACCCATTAAGAAATGATACAGTTTTTGCTCTTCTGTCTTTTCCTGCTGTGCAGCTGTCCTCTGCCCGCTAACGTGGAGGACTTGGGGCCCCCGTACGAGCTGTATTTATGCAGCAGCTCGTCGCTGGTGACATAGCGCAGGCGCGCGGGCTGAGGAATGGGTTCTCCCAAGAAGTAGCCTTCGTTGTCGGACTCGGAGGAGGAGGAGCAGGTGGAGCACCAGTCGTACTCGGTGAAGTAGGGTCCCCATCGCTCCCCAAAGGCGTTCTGCAGAGCCAGGTCCGACACAGTCCGTGGGCACTGGCCATACAGGTCCCTCCGGGACCCCTGGCCCAGGCTCTCCTGGAAGCTGCGCTGGCGCATGAATTGGTCATAATCGTCCCTGGCTCGCAGCGGCGGCCTTTCTTTCAACCTGGAGATGGCCTCGCGCTCGCTGGCCAGGTGCAGGGCGTTGTCCGAGCGCGAGCGCCGGCTGCGCCTGGAGCGGTGAGGACGGAAGCGCCGGGCGTCCTCTCGGGAGGTGTTTCTCCTCCGGGTGCGCTCGCTCATGGGCTGGAGTCGCACGCCTTCCTGCCCCGGGAGCTTGCTGCTCGCCATGCCCCCGTCAAAATCGAAGCTCTGATGCAGCCGTCCGTGGGACTGCAGGTCACGGTAGCCCAGGGGGTTGCCCAGCTGGTGCAGCCCGCCCTCCATCTCCTGGTACTGCTGGGCCGACAGCAGGCTGCGCACCGATTCCGCGCTGCGGAACTGCATGGATGAGTTCAGGGTGCCCATGTTGCTCAGCTTCTCCGAGACGTTCATGCCCGAGTCCTTGCTGAGGTCCGGCATGGAGAACCGAGACAGGTGCTCCTGGCGCTTGGCACCACCTTCAGTGGAGAGGCCTGGAGAGAGAGGGGACACAAAAGGAGGGAGGGAGGGAGGGAGAAGAAGGGGGTGGGAAGAAGGAAGGGAGAGAGAACCAATGGAGTTAATACAAATGTACAGTAAGGGGCGGCGTGGGGTGGACTCTTTTGATCTCTAGCACTTTGTGCAATGCACAAAGTCTTTGGCAGATGCTGTATGTGTGTGTGGGGGTGGGGGGTGGAGGGTGTGTCTTCCCCCTAATGGGGCAGGCAACAAGACACATGCTTACCCAAAGAGATGAGTGTTCCCAGTTCCCAGGTCCTCCAAATGCTCCCTGGGGAATGAACAGCCCATGTACCTCTAATGCAGGTGTTTTCTCTGCTCGCCAAGTGTTTCAGTGACCTCTCTGATTCTAAGGATGCATACGAAGTTCTACGTTTTTGGATGAAGAAATGTTGATGTTTACAGACTGGACGGTGCCTGAACTCTTCCTGATACCCAGAGTCTATGATCTAGTTGTCATTCTCCAGCAGCTAACTTTTTCCTTCATCAGCCTGCATAGCCCGTGTCCCCCAGTGGCCAGTGACCCCAAATGTCTAGGGCACTAAGTGACTCTCTAAATGGAGACAAAGAGATATTCACTCTCTTGGCTCACAAAGGGAGTGGCTGTTGTGGGGTTATAAATGGGTCCATAGCAGCTAGATGATGGGAAGGGAACTCTCATATACCCTCCATCCCCTGGGGAGACACTTTCAAAATTAAGCCGGTGACTCTGGTCATCTCTTAAAAGAGGTGTACCAAGCAGGCACCAGTGGCTCATACTTGTAATCTTAGCTACTCAGGAGGCTGAGATCTGAGGATCACGGTTTGAAGCCAGGAAAGTCCACCAGACTCTTATCTCCAATAAACTAGCGAAAATCCAGAAGTGGAGCTGTGGCTCAAATGGTACAGTGCCAGCCTTGAGCACAAAAGCTCAGGGATAGCAACCCTTGAGTCCTGGGTTCAAGCCCCAGGACCTACATGAGATGGAGAGAAATGGAGAGAGGAGAGGGGAGGGGCTATACTCCCATTTCCTATGTGCTGTCCAATGAGCTCCCAGCAACCCAGAGATAAAAGCCATTCAGAAGGAAGGAGGAGGCGAAGCAGTCTGCAGTGACTTGCTTTACTCACTTTACGGCAGGGCGAGGAAACTCCTGACCAATAGACATGTACATTTCTTGAATGCTTCTTGCTGGCTGCCTGTGGACCTCTGCCTGCACTGATAATTCTGTTTAGCCCTCAACTAATGTTCTAAATATCCAAATGTCATTTGGCAGACAAAAGGTACCCCATGCCCATGAGACACTAAAGATTGGGCAAGATGGCAAAACTCTAACATCTCCACTCACTACAAAGGAAAAGGTTCAGCAATTTCGCCATTTCTGATCACAGGCAGCCAGACTTCAGATGTCAATGTCCTACTCACCCTGGTCTCTGATGAATCCTGCCTCTCCTGCCGGAAACAATGTCACAAGCACTTACTTGGCAATATCTACCTCCTGCAGAGGTAGTTGGATTGTGGTTCAAGGCCAAAGCATGAGACCCTATCTGGAGCATAACGATGCACAAAAAAAAAAAAAATTAAAAAAGGACTGAGGATATCACTCAAGCGGTAGAGCTTAGCAAGTGTGAAGCTCTAAGTTCAAAACCCCAGTGCTACTCAAATAAAGAAGAGGAATTAAAAACAAAATCATGGTTATAGCCGCAGGGTGCAATGCTTTTCAATTCTAGGCAAAATTCAAAAATGCCTGGAGAAAGTGTTGGTTGCTATGACTGGGATGGGTGCTACCAGCACCTCGTAGGCAGATCCAGATGCTGTTGCGCATCTGCACAGGACAACCCCACCCTTACCCAAGTCAGTGACATAATGACATCTATAGAATATGAGAACAAACTCCAACACAAAGCACCGTGGATGAGTCTCACAGACGATGCAGAGGACTCCATTCACATGAGGCTCAGGAGCAAACTGAGGCTGTCTATGCTGACGGATGTCGGGGCAGGAGGCATGAGCAGAACTCCCAGGGCTGGAACTGAGCTCTACAGCTGAATTTGGATGGAGGATATCGAAGGACATGTGAGTGTAAATCTTGCTGAGTGTAGTGGGGCTCTGGGAGGGGGTGGGCAGTACTGGGATTTAAACCCATTGCTTTGTATTTATTACTTAGGTGTTCTACTACTTGAGCTATTCCTCCAGTTGCTTTTACCTTTGTTATATTTTTAGAATAAGTTCTCAGGTGTATACCCAGGCTAGCCTGGACTGTGATCTGCCTATTTATTTTTCCTGTGTAGCTAGGATGCTAGGTGTGTGCCTCTGTGACTAGCTATTGATTGAGATGGGGGTCCTGTTTGTGCCCAGACTGGCTTAGGATGCCTCTCCTCCCATGATTACAGGAGGCATGAACCACTGGCACCTGGCATGAGCTGTATCTTCAGTAATTTGTTTGCCTCCTTTTATGGAAGCGATCCTTAGTAAAACTGTCTAAAAGCAAAGAGATGCTTGTGGAAGAATCACATTTTTAAATGGAAAAGTCTACCAATAAAACTACAGTGATCCTTATGTATTCACAGGGGAGTGGCTCTAGGATCCCCTGAAATACCAAAATTCACAGGTGTGAAGTCAGTCATATAAGGAGATTTGCAGAAGGCCCAGACACATCTTTCCCTTGTACCATAAGTCATCTCTACATGACTCAATGCCTAATGCAACCTGGATACACCACAAGCCATTGCTCTACTGTCTTGTGCAGGAATAATGACAAGCAGAAGGATGTACATGTTCTCCACAGATGCAACCCTGTTCCATCTGAGGCTGGTTGCATCCGCAGACAGGGACCTGTCTGGAGGGAGGCCCGAGTGCATCTGGCTAAGCATCACACACACCCATGAAGTTATTCTATCCTATTTCATTCCTGACCCCATCGTCAGGGTAAAAGGAGTCCGATCTTCCAAGTCCTGCTTCTCTTGTTGCTTATCTGTAACGTACAACTCATAAAAGCTGATTTATGGTCATCTAATCACTTCCAGAGCCTCCCCAACCTGACCAGGAAGAGATGATGATGAATGAATACACAGAGTGGATGAACTCTAGTAAGGATGGGGGAAAATATCTTCCAAATCACATGGAGAAACAAGCGCTCTCTAGGTGGATACCATGATCTTGGCTGGACTTTCCACCCAAGCTCTTTAGTGGAACCAAATTGATGTTAGCATCAACAATCCAGCCTGTGCTATAAACTTCCAGACATGAGTTTTTGCTGCACCTGCCTGCTGTCAGCCTGGGCAGTGAAGCCTTTCTGACGACATGGTGCACGCAGAGGGAAATGTGAAGGAACAGCTCCTATTGTACTCCTCCAAAACTGTCCTTCTGCATCTCCTGGGAGAAGAAAAGTACTTTGGCAGGAGCAGAAAGACTCTCTGCTCAAGCCCAGGGTCTATTATCAGTTTTCCCTGGAGGAAATCTAGTCTCCTGGAGGATGCAAGAAGAGATTGGAAACTTTACCTTTCCTGGGAGAAAGAGGTTTCCTATGATTCATTAACTTACATCTTCCTCCCAGTCTTATTGCTTGCAGGGACATGAATAGAAAGGTTAATGTTGCTCAAAGATGAGCAATAAGTGTGTACTTGCCCCTAAAAAGGGTGGTTCTCTAGTTAACTTTTTTTTATTGGTAAAACCCAGCGTCTTTACATGCAGATCTCAGATCTCAAGGCTCTACGTGACTTGGCTCCTTTCTCTCTCTCTCCCTCCCCCCTCCCACATCCTATCCAGAATTGTCAGCTCCATACTGTCCCTCACCTACTGTGCTTCAGACACGCTTAGAGTCCAAGACACCAACCAGTGCATTGCTCACCTCCTTGAGAAAACTCGCTCCTCTGGTTGACTGACATCTCTGGTCACTAAGATTGGCTCTCAGGTGGAACTTTCTCAGGGGTGCCATACCACTTCTTTAAAGTAGCAAAAGTAGCTAGTTGTTTATGAGCTACCCAGCTACTCTTGTACTTGACTTTTTTTTTTTTAAAGCTACCCACTTGTCTTATTTGATTACATCTCAGCATAAATGTGTAGTTGCATGAATCTATGTGGGAGCAGAAATTGTGTCCCTGGCCTTCTGTACTCTTACAGAACTCCTTCAACACACAACAGATATTTCCAGAATAAAGACAAATGAATCCTCATGCTACCCAGAGTTGGATAAAACAAAGTGCTCTGAGATCCACACTGGGTCAGATTTAGATCCCAGATAAAGAGATTCCAAACACCAGGAATAAAATACTGTGATCACGCTTGCCAATCACATGGTCTCTGCAGATCATTACAGGGTCCCCCACCAAGTGGGGCTTCTCTAATTTGAAAGCTGAAGAAGGTATAGTTTCTAATTAGCTCCCTGAGCTGCAAAAAGTGTTTCGATCTGATTAACCACAGCCCTGGAGATCCACTGGAGTTAACAGCCTCAAGGTTCCCAAGATGGAATTATGTTATCACATAACAGTTCACACCCTAATCCAAGCTATACTCTCTTCTTCCCTAATTATGCACAAGCGCTGGACAGCCACCTCCTGGTGGGGGGTTGTGGAGCAATGTCTAAATGCTTATCATCAAATGAGTATAAAACAGTATCTAAGCTTTACAGTGGCTGTGATATAGTATGTCCTACAGTTTGTTATTTTGTTTTACCTTTGTTTCCCTGGCTAGACTATAAGCTCACAGAAGGCCAGAACAAACTTGCCTGAAAAACCTCAATAAAAGAAAGTCTGCTCCAAGAATTTAACACCTAGTCATGAATAAATAAAAACAAATACTTGAGTGTCATGATTCTATTCATGGATATAAGAAATATGATCCACACAGTAATATTCTCCTGGCTATGAGCAACTGTTACCGATTTGTCTCCAAACTGTGGCTAGGCTGGTGATTTATTTCTTCCCTTACACACACTCACTGTGAAAATACTGAAAATCTATAGTCTCATCAAATAGGGCTCCAAAACACCCATCCGCT